TATAGTTATTTAAAAGTACACTGATTATTAGTTTAGTATGTAATGCAATTTGTTTATTTTAATTCAGATTAAAAACCTGCATTTTAGTTAAAAATTTGATTTTTTTCGTAATACCCATAATTTCGTCTTAGGAAAATATGTTGTCTCGCTTAGCTCACAAGCAAAACATCGGAACTTCATTCAAATACATAGAAATCTCACATGCAACTTAAACAAAATATTCCTGTTTGCTTTGATAGCCTTAAAGACCATGAAATTGTGCATGGAACTCATTTGATTGTGAAGATGTTTCGTATGTTCCCAAGTTAACACCTACACACATTACAATACATACACACGCCAATGGTTGGTCATGACACGAACAGGCTACTGTTCATTATGTTCACTATCTACTGTGATATATCGCTACTTGGAGTCATGCATGTGGCAACTTGGTGAACTTTACCATCATTATATTCGACACAAGATACTTACACAACACTGGTTTAGGATGATGTATCTATGTTATTTACTGGGAACTGAAATCTTTACCTAGTTTATGGCCTCCTTTCTACATTACATATGAACCTAAAAAAGCACTTGTTTTCTTTTGACTTTCTGTAACCTAATTGGCCACTAAGCCCATAGATGTTTTCATTATCATGTGGTAGTTGCTGCCAATCTGAATTATTTCATTCTGTTATATGAAGCAATTACAATATCTTGCTTAGTTTCAATCGACTGCATGTTCTCTTGGTTTTGCTTAGAGCAGTTGAATACACTACCCAACTGGTGCTTGTAGCAGATATCTAGGTTCAAGGCTGGTACCAAGTCTTTATTGCTATTGTGATTGAGTAATGGAGACATATCACTAGTATGAGCAGCTACTGTTCATTATATAGTCTAAAGATAACATGAACAGCTACTGCGATATATCAGTAGTACGAACAGGTACTGTTCATTATGGGATGTATGTAGTTTACCTTCACACACACATGCACTATATACATATGAGAGATATGTAGTTTACCTATGTAAGGATCACGTGAAAACCCTTATTTTCGTGATGAGGACATGTGAAGATACCTTGTTCTATGTGTGTGTGTGTATGCATTATAACCTTCACACAATATAAGGGTATTTTTAAAAACCTTTTGTATGTGTCATTTAATAACATTTTTAAGTCCCGTGTAACCTGGTAAATGAAATATGTATATATTTTTACGTCTATTGTGTTTCCTTCTATTTCAAATATATGTTTTAATACACATTGCGTCTATTGTTTTTCTTATCGTATTTTGTGTGTTTTTACCAAGGAATGCATGAGGTTGATGTGTAAAAAAATTGTTAATCTTTATTCTGAAAGAGTGGAGGCGGACTTGATGATCGATTCGTTCATTGAACGTTTCCCCGGTGATGCTGATTTTGACGAATTCAAGATCAAATTGGCTTCTTTGTTTAAAGGTAGCAAGTGGGATGCACCCCCAACTACGAGCCAAGTCCCTGACCTGCCTATTGTTGAGGTAACACCTCCTAAGTTGTCAACCATACCTGATCCAGATTTTCTCTCGCCCTTGTCTCAATTATGGACGAGTCCTTCGGTGATTGCGGAGGTTGATAGGGCATCCAATGAGAAATCGATACAGATAGCAAAAGAAAACAGGAGATTTACACGTTCTGTTCAAAAGGAGACAGTCGGGATTCCGTCATTACAAGTACAGGTGGAGAAATTTGGGATCTTACGGAGTAGAAGTGGTGATCAGACCGAGTTTCTAAAAAGTAAGATATGTAAGCGAGCGGAAAGCAGTGACAAAGCAATTGATTTGTATGGAGGTATCGAGCCACCGTCATTCGATTTGGGGATAAGTCCAGCGGGTACAGATGTAGTTTCTTTTGGGGATAATTTGACTACATCGTCAATGCAGGAGGGTGCAAGGCCGACGTTATCGAAGAGGGATCCGAAGTTGAGTTTCAAGCTACGGTCACCTTATCTTACGCGTGCTGTTACATTCGACGTAACAAGTGATGAGCGTAAGTTACATGATTGGATTTTGAGGGGGATTGGCGGAATACTGTAAGTTGTAATTTACCTTTTCTTATTTCATTTAATGTATTTTTATATGTAAATATTTGGGTTGTATGTTTTGAACTATTTAATGTTTGAATGTTAATTCCTAGGAACCTGTTTTCGTGACCACATATGGAAGAACAATAACACGGCAGGCGTTGCAATCTCTTTCAACCCAGTCCGTAGTTTGCCGAGATGTGTTGGACGGGTAGTCGACGGTACTAAACCGAGATGAGAGACCGCGTAGTAATGAATCCCCAAGACGCTATTTCTTTACGACGAACGTTTCGGTAAAACCATTCAAAATACACCTTTATGTCATACCAATATAGAACATCCATTTTCTTCAATACAACTAATGGATTTGTTATTGGTGCAGATGGATCGGACCATGAGGGACCAGACTTTGGATATTCACCAAAGATACGAGACTTTCAAAAACAACCGATCAAGTTGCACAAACAATGATAGGGAGCTCGTTAGTATGCGCAACGTTGACATGGTAAATATATAACATTCGTTGGTAATATTATCGTAAAATAAAGTAATAATATATTGAAATTGTAAACGCTAGCTTACGTATTTATAATTCCAGGTATTCTTCCTGATTGTAGAAGAATCATTCTACTACATTGTTGTGTTTGATCTGAAACGGCCCTCAATCGTTATCATTGACTCCAAGGATCGCGATGGCAATGTTGATGATAATACGAACCTAGTACGGTAATTTTGGTAAGTATACAATATTAGTTATCGCATTCTACATGCTTCATGAGTACCATATTTATGTTGTCGAAATTATGATTGATTCAGCAAGACATGTTGATACTTCACCTTTTGAGAGAGGGCCACGATGCGGGGAAGGTTTATGCTGAAATGGATCAGGAGTGAATAAGGACATGGTGGCAGTCAAATGAGAGCTCGGTTGATTCTGGTGTAATGATGATGTGACATATGGAGACGTACTTTGGAACCGATGGAGGGAAATGGGAATGCGGGCTTTACAAAGAGAGTACGAAACAAAAAAGGCAGCTAAAAGATCTTCGAACTAAGTATTGTTCGAAGATCCTACTTAGTGACGAAAACATCTGGAATACATCAATCATAACTGAAGTGGAAAGATTCATTGCGATGGAGACGTCGTTTAATGCGAAGAAGACACGTGGGGCTACCCGAATCGGTCGGGGGAAGGTGTAGACGGCGTATGTAGTTGGATTTCTCAATGGTTTTTGAATCTTTAATATTTACCTTATTTATAGTACGGCAGTTGATGCTTCTGATAGTGCCTTCTACGTACATGTTATGGTGTTTTTTTTTATATCTCAGAGTATGATACCCTTGTGTAGGCATGATTCTACTTTTTACTTCCTCGGTGGCTTGATGTATGAATAGTTGGAATGATCGCCAAAAGGTTTATCAACCTTCTGTTGGTGTTTGGTTTTGTCTATGTCTAATCTGAATGATAAAGGGTATTCATTGAATAGGAACTAACTTGATTCTTTATCATTGCAATTACTTAAAGACTTCAAGTGCTCCTGCTTATTTTTTGTATTTCATGAGCTGCAAGGTTTCTTGCTACCAATTTTTTTTGCATGTTTACTACCATCTGATTGTTCTATTACGCTGCATTTGGTACATGGGGATCAATTGGGCAGGACAAAAACTTATCATTCCATGTTTATAACTAATATATGATATATAGAAACATTAGACAGGTTTTAGGGGCATTCTAATCATTTTAATAGTTTTGTCCTGTCTTGTCCAATTTACCAAACACTGTACAGGCAACTTGTTTATTCATGTCTTAGTTGAACCAAACACCATATAGACAACTTGTCCTGTCGAAATCAGTCTTCTCTTATATGTGTACCAAACTCTACCTTAGTGGGCAACATTTTCTCTTGTTATAAGAAATTTTATTATAGTCTTTCACTTACTCGACGCAACTGCATTATAGCTGCCTTTGGTTAGGATATCCATTTTGCCTTCCGTGCTATTGAGACCATATTGGTAACTGTCCTCTTCATATCAATGTTAATCTATTAGTGTTTGATGTCAAATAGCGTATTTTCTTGCTTGGAACTGGATTACAGCAAAGTGGTTATGCATAATCATGAGTGTAAAATTGGAAAAATGATTCATTTTGAAATCTAATATATTGTCCTTATGCAATGGCTTCATTTTTTACAATTCATGCAGCAAAAAATATTATACTTGCTGGCGTCAAGTCTGTGACATTGCATGATGAAGGTGCAGTGGAACTGTGGGAGCTCAACAATGTTGTACTGGTCTCAAGCTTGCCTACGAAATTGACTAAAGAAAAACTTTCTAACTTCCAGGTACTCATTTACTTTGCTCGCATACATAATGCATTAGTTCTTCAAATAAATCACATATCTATGATTGAACAAGATGTAAAGCCTAACCTTAATAATGCACATTTTAGTTTTATGCTTCGAAATGGAGCATTGATAGTTTGTTGTTKCAATGGATAGYTGTTATGATAATTTATTAGTATGCCATTTCCATTAGTTACTTGATGCATGCCACAAAATTCTTCCTCAAGTGGAAATTCCATTTCTAGATCATATGACATCTACATCACATCTTTTGCAACAACCAAAAAAGGATGTTGTTTGTTATCTGATCCAATTCTAGAGATTCCTGCATCATGCATGCATTACGAAACAGTGGCTACTTTCTCCAGGAAAATGAAGGCACTATCAAAAACATCAACTGCTATATACATCAAATAGAAGAATCCAATTTTAATCTGTTTAACCAACTATAATAATAAGATAATAACCGTCAAAAACCTTTAAGTTCCTAATAAGATAATGTTTATAACAAGTAGATGATAATCGTATCAAAAAACATACGACGAATATGTCACATGAACAATATGTAAACAAAATATAACGAAACGATAACAATCCTAACTACTTAATTGTAACTAATCTAGCAATTCTGGGCAATTACGTGAGTCATGACCACTACGTTGTCCACATATTGCACATTTTCGTTTTGCTTTTTTGCTATTAGTCTGGATTTTTTCAGATACACTTACCAGTCTTTTACCAGTGTCGCATCCCTTGTTCCTAATGCCAGATGGTGGTAGAATATCCACCTCATCAGGTATGGAAACACCTAGATGCTCCCTAATTGCATCCAACTTCTGTTGAGATGGGTCTTCATATGGAACTTCCTTCTCTATATCAACTATAAATTTGTCGAGATTCCGCTCCAATCTAGCCAATATAGATTTATCATTCCGGGTGATGCTTATGATCTCGTCGACCTTGGAATATACATCAACTATACACTTATCTTTTTCGGCATCAACCACGTCGTAACGAACCCTTGCAGATTGTATCTGTACTGGGACTAATTGTCGTTTCCATCGCCGTAACACATATCTATCCGGGATGAATTCAACTTCATCGTTTATCAGTACCTTGAACGCGTGACGACAAAGATAACCATTACGCGTGAATAGGTGGCACTCGCATTCGATGGTGTCTGTTGAGTAATTACGGTTCACCTATATTACAAAGGTTTGCAAACAACCACAATCAAATATAAAGTTTAAAAACATAAAAAACATTGTTGTGTGGATTAGGGATATGATACCAGATATGTGATGGTCTCGGATGATTTCTTGGTCTTGTGGCTTATCACGAATGACTTTAAGTCATCCCGGCATTCGACAGTCTCTATAGCACAGAACCAGACAGCCTTCTTTATCTCCTTTTGTATGTCAAAAAACACATTCCGACTGTATATGCGTGATGCATAACTTTCTAAATGCAGTGGAGTAACAAATTTTGGATTAGTGGTTCTCGTTACTGTTTCATGAACATATTTTCTGTATCTTTGTTTCTCTATAGTTACGTCGTAAGAAATTGAACCAAATCAAACCAGTACGATTAGTATATATTAATATATGAATTCGAACTCTTAGATCTTGAGGTTGTTTTCATTAGACCAGACATTGGCGTGTCCTTGTAAAAGGCAGGAATCCACAAGTGTCGAATTGCATACATCTCTGTGAACCAAGGATCACCCCCCAGATTGTATTGGTCGATCATCTCATGCCAACGACGCTCGAACTCCGCTGGTCCAATATGTATGTTCCATACGAGCTTGTTGATAACTTTATTAAAAATAGGATCTTGATTTAGTACGACACTGACCTGCGTGTATATGACTACCACTAATGAAACAATAAAACATAAACATCGTTTAAAAACGCATAGCATTACATACATACTACTTACCTATGAAGGCACCTTCTTCATAATGTGCCACATACAGAGTCTGTGTTTGGCTTCCGTAAACACCATCGGAATAGCTTGCTTCATTGCAGAACATTGGTCTGTAATGACGAAAACTGGTTGCTTCTCATGACATTTTAGGAAAGCCTTTAAAACCCATGTAAAGTTCTTGATTGTCTCGCCACTTATTAGAGCGGATCCGACCACAACGGAAGCCTTGTGATTGTCAACGGCCAAAAAAGGCACGAAAATCATGGCATGCCTGCAACACAAATCAGCTAATTAGTTGTATCTATTTCCAACCCACGTCATGATTCCATAAAAATAGAAATGCGTAATAATCTTTAAAAACTTTATCGCATTCTGTAATATTACTTGTTCGTGCGAAACGTCCCGTCGAACGATATGACATCACCGAATTCTTTGTAGTTGATCCTAACAACTTCATCTGCCCAAAAAATTGCGATTAACTCCTGTTCATTACACTTGTATTCGAAGAAATAACCTGGTACAATATCACGTCTATTTGATAGTTTATTGATCAACATCTTTGCGTCCTTATTCTCAACACAAGCAACAACATCCCTCTTAAAATTCTTGAAATCAACTTCTGAAACTCGAGTATGCTCAAATCCCCCGTTCAATGATGTTTGAATACGATGTGTCCTTCTCGCATCGACTTTGTAACTCGAGCTGTTGAGTACAGTTTCGAAATTCGTATACTTCATTTGTATATTCTTCCTAGAGAAACGACGATCGTTAACGTTGAACAACGAATGGTTATGTGCATCAACAAACTCGTATATCTCGTAACAACCCCCATCCTTCGTCAAGTGGATTTTTAGACATGCATTACATCCACAACGCTTAAGGTTCGTATTGCGATATCTCCTCTCACTGGGCTGAATCTCCAAAGAATTAAATTGCCTTTTGTTTGGGTTTCCCTCTTTACTACACACAAACCATCTATTTTGAATGTCTCCGTGTTTGTTTGTTTTTTTTGCATGTACACGAACATCAAATCCGGCCTTGTCCACGTAAGCTCTGTACATCTTTTCAGCATCGTTTAAAGATGCATATTGTGCGTTCGTCTTTGGCTTAAGCGCGTCATCAACAATTGGGATAAAATACTTGCTTCTTTCTGAGCTCTCGCCTATATCATAGTCAAATTCGGGATGTGGAGGGGTGAGATCATAAAAACCTGCTAGTAAAGATGTAGTTAATCTTCAAAACTAAAGTTATTATTACATAAACTAGAGAATTAAAAAGAGCAACAAGGATATAGATTTACTGCTTTTGAAAACATAGTGAAGACTGTATATTGTTTGCCATCCCGAACGTCAAATCGTTAATCTAGGTGTGATAACATACGATGTCCATATTCAGTTGATATTATGGTATGCCAACACATAATAAGTATGAATATCGTTTAGGCTACAAATAGAATATGTTATCTTTTGGCTACTGATAATGAACACTAGCTGTTCATACTAGTGATATATCTCCATTACTTGATCACAACATGGTCGGTTTAAGTGAACAGTAGTTGTTTTGACCATGTCAACATAATGAACATCAACTATATGACATAAAACACTAACGAATTCCTTAATGCATCTTAGTATGAAAAATGGCTTAATGCATCTTTGTATGAAAAATGTAATTTGGTGTGTGTAAACAAGTAAGATAGCACAGTGATGCAAGTTTGCATTTCAATTTTGGTGGACAAGTAAGTTTGCATCTCCATGACACAATCACAATAACATGTGATATATCACTGTAGATAGTTAACATAATGAATAGCTACTGTTCATACATATATGTTCATTTTGTTTCACTGTCTACAATAGCTATATGTTCATAGAGTAGTTGTTCATGTTGTCTTTAGTCTATGTAATGAACAACAATTGTTCATGTTGTCTTTAATCTATATAATGAACAGTAGCTGTTCATACAAGTGATATATCTCCATGACGCAATCACAGCGTGTTCGGTAAAGTGACACACATGCAACACTTCCAGATAAAATGATAACAGGTCTGGTTCTTTAGAACATAATACAGAGTTAAATCAGAACTTATCACATTTATCTATCACAATATGGACCCTACGCTCAATGTCTGATTTATTATGTGCAAGATTCAAAATCTGAGAATCATAAAACACACATTACATCAGTCACTGATGATTTAAGGGTGTTGCATGCTTACTCCAAGATTCAAGGACACAAGTATAAACAATATAAGTTCTGATTTATATGTTCATACATATATGTTCGTTCTGTTTCACTGTCTACAGTAGCTATATGTTCATACAATAGCTGTTCATGTTGTCTTTAGTCTATGTAATGAACAGTAGTTGTTCATGCAACACTTCCGATAAAATGATCACAGGTCTGGTTCTTTAGGACATAAAACAGAGTTAAATCAGAACTTATGTTGTTTATACTTATGTCCTTGAATCTTGGAGTAAGCATACAACACCCTTAAATCATCAGTGACTGAACTAATGTGTGTTTTATGATTCTCAGATTTTGAATCTTGCACATAATAAATCAGACATTGATCGTAGGGTCCATATTGTGATAGATAAATGTGTTGAACGTGGTTTGCGAGCCCTTGCAGTAGCATACCAGGTATGAAAATCTTATCCAATACCAAAAAGATCCTGCAGTTCAAGCGTTGTTTATATACTAACATCTTGATACAAGAAGTCCCTGAGGGAAACAAGGAAAGCCCAGGAGGTCCATGGGAATTTGTTGGCTTCATTTCCCCTGTTTGACCGTGTGAACATAATGAACATCAACTATATGACATAAAACACTTACGAATTCCACCGTCTACGGCTATGTAATTCGGTGTGTGTGAACAAGAAAGATAGCACAGTGATTCAAGTTTGCGTTTCCTTTTGGTGGACAGGTAAGTTTTGCTTCACACAATCCACATAATTATCAAACCCCTACTGTCTTGGTTGCATATGCATATCTGTGGAAATAACAACAATTTGTCGTTGTGTGATTTCTGCAATTTACGTGTGTGTTGATTTGTTTGTGTGTGCAACAGAAAAATAAATGAATCTCCGAACATATCAAACACCAAAATATACCGACAATGTTCAACATGTCAACAACAGTCATTGTAGCAAGAATAATATATAATTCTCGAAGGTAATAGCTGTTCATTTAAACGGAACAAAAAAATAATATTGAGCACATGCCAATATGAACGGTTTGATCATTTTCTTCACTTTCAGAATTCGAATTCCGAATGTATTCGTAGACACTTTTAGTTTTTCTGTTCTTATTGTCGTTGCTCTGTTTTACTCTATGATTATCCATATTACTCAAACTATTACAGAATCTTTACAAAAGGGACTTTTTTCAAATTTATAATATCAAAATCATTGTATGAAGAATATATGTAAAAATCAGTAAGATGAACAAATGTGAAACTTGATGTCATTATTAAATAAAGATCAATTAGTGATATTTTAAGATTTGTAACTTCCAATTAAAATATTTGGGAGTTACATAAAAATGACAAATGACCTAAATACCCATATCATTAATATATGAGTTACATTTGAACCTAACTAAAAGATGGAACATGATTGGTTGATGTTGGTTAGCATAGTTAATACAAAAAAATGGGTTAGTATTTGAACCACCCTATATATAGGTATATATATATATATATATATATGTAGGTTCAAACAAGAACGCTAACTATTTAAGAAAACAAGAAAAAAGTGTTAATGTACAAAATCATATACATTCACGTACAAAATCATGCATGATTTGCCGCGACCAAAAGTCGCCCGCTTCCAGTTTTTTGATGTGAATGTAAAATCACATGTGATTTTGTACATTAACGACATTTTTCTTGTTTTCCTAAATAATTAGCGTTCTCATTTGAACCTTCCCCTCTCTCTCTCTCTCTCTATATATATATATATATAGAGAGAGAGAGAGAGAGGAGCGATCAAATGAAAACCACTCCAATTTGTAAAAATCGTAAAAACTACTTTCATCCGTCGTTAATCTTATGAAATTTTTTCATGAAATTGTTAATCTTGTGAATTTTTTTCATGAAATTGTTAATCTTGTGAAATTGTTTCATATAATACTTTTTTTGATGAAGTTGTTTCATATGTGGTTATGAAATTGTTTCATATAATACTTTTTTTGATGAAGTTGTTTCATATGTGGTTATGAAATTGTTTCATATACTACTTAATGAAATTTTAATGAAAATGTTTCATGTATTTCTCTAAAATTAAATTAATGAAGATGATAATATCTATGATTAACACCCTCCACAATAAAAATGGTTAATCAACCTCTCATAATTACAAAAAATGAACAAAATAAAAAATTATGATTGGTTGAATGAGGTTTTCACGGTTTTTAGAAATTGAGTGGTTTTTATTTGAACTCACCTCTATATATATATATATATATATGTGTGTGTGTGTGTGTGTGTGTGTGTGTGTGTAAGGGTTAAATCATGTTAGGACTACAAATAGGTTGAGGATTGTGATGATCAATCTTAATCATTAATTGAATTTAATTTACGGCTATGAAAGGCGATGGCATTTTTGTGATATTTTTGAAATTTGAAACTAACTACTAGATAAATGACAAGTTGAAAGGGACATTCTAGACATTTTTGACATCCAATCCATTGTCTATAATGGCGGCTATCAAAATTTTATTAATTATAATAAAATTCTAAATCAAAACATAACGTTTATTTTCTTTAATTTGACACGAATATCATTACTTTTTCTACATTTTTTTAGTAATTGCAATTTTTTCATGAAATAATAAAAGTGATTTAACTCGTATGTTATTTCATTTTGTGAAACAACATTTTAGTATTTCACATCACATTTCATGTCAATTTTTGTTTTTCACATGGTGAAACAACACTATATCATTTCACCATGTGAAACAGCCAGTATTCAAAATGGTGTGTCATGGCATGCACCATGGCGCAAAACATGTTTTTGCCACCCATAACGTTTCTGTAAGGCGTAGCTCATGCCATGGCGTCTTGAGAAGTGTCATTGCGTGTCACGGCGTCTTGAGGCGTGCAATAGCGCGTCATGGCGAGTGTTTTTTGTAAGACGTGACTTTATTCTTAAAAATTATTATTTTATTTTATTTTTTATCTTTTGTGTTTTTACACTTTTAATTTTAGATTTTACATGTTTATAGATTTAACTAATCACATCATTTACAGTTTCACAAATTCATAAACGTTACGGACCCACGGTTAAAATGAAGTTGTAAAATTACCTTTCGAAGTGCTACTTCAAAATTTTAATCAAAACCCTATTTTTATAATAATAATAATAATCTATATGATTTTTCTTATTCTAATATAAATGTACATTTTTTAATATCATTATCTGATTAGATAATATATAGAAAACATATATCTATATATGACATATAAATTTGTCGCTTTATGTACGCATTGAAAAACGCCGCGTCCTCGCCGTGGCGTGTAAAGCTTGAGGTTTGACCTCGCCGTTATGCCACTTCTCACGCCTTTTTGAACCTTGGAAATAACACTACATCGTTTCACCATGTGAAATAGAACTACATTGTTTCTTATTTGCAACATTGTGTTGTTTCACAATATGAAACATATATCTATATAGAAAACATGTTTCACGTCAACTTTAGTGTTTAACATTAGCGACATTATGTTCTTTCACAATGTGATTACTATTTCACTTTCACTTTCACTTTCACTTTCACATCAAATTTCATATTAACTTTGTTTTGTTTTCACATTATCAAACAACAATAAATTAATTTCACTTTAGCTATATTATATTATTTTATTTTATTTTATTTTGCGTGAAATTAAACTTGGTGTTTCCAAGTGATAGTCTTAATTTCAATTTTTTATATCTACTATATTTTGTTTACTCATATGATATTTTATTATTTAAAATAGTCAATTTTATTTTATAAAATACATGTTTTTCTATCAATAAATATTGTATATATGAGAAAATAAATGAGTGAAAATTAAATTAACAAATACAATAAATTGATGAAATATAAAAGCTTAATATCAATTAATGAAAATTAAAATATCTTATTATTACATATAAATTACGTCGCATAAGATTCAGCTAAAACAAAATAATAAGTTATTCTAAATTTTGATATCTATAAAGAAAGGAAGTGGAAAATAATCAAGAAAATAAAAAATTACCATCATATCCTTCCTTAATTATAGATAAAACTTAATTAAGGTTGCTAGATTAAAGTGATTAGATGGTTGAGACGGTTCTCAAGGTTCTCAACATTTTTGTGCTTCTTATTTGATTATTGTCCTATATAACAACCTTAAATATTTACCACTTCAAATAAACCCTTCCACACACACATATGTATATGTGTGTGTGTGTGTGTGTGTGTGTATGTGTGTGGAAAGGTTCATTTGAATTGGTAAATATTTGAGTAGTAAAGAAGTGATCATAACCCTTCATCTGGTCAACATTTGCGGCTTTGACCGTGAAGCACCTGATAATTCCTTGTATGGATATGTGAAAGATAGAGGATAGTTTCGTAACTTTTACAAATAGGCGGCAAACGGTTTCATAGGTGAACTCATGATATACACATATGAACTATATGTTCATATGTGAACCCGTTAATTAGCTCGCATGTGAATTATTTAACTGATTCATATATTAACCCACAAGTTCATATACAAATCAGTTAATTAGTTATATATGAATCATACGAGTTAATATGTGAATCAGTTAATTAGTTCGTATGTGAATCACAAGGATTCATATGTTAAATAAATTAATTGGTTCATATGTGAATCATGTAGGTTCATAGGTGAATCAGTTAAAATAGTTCATATGTGAATTACATTAGTTCAAATATAAACATATAGTTCATATATGAACCTGTTTGCTGCCTATTTGTAAAAGTTACGAAACTACCCTCTCTATTTTTCGTATAGCCACAATTTTACCCAGTCAAAGTCGTAATTATTGACCAGTCAAATCTGATACCATATGAAGGCTAGAGTCACTTCGTTACTTATCAAATATTTACCTCTTTACTTATCAAATATTTACCACTTCTCAAAATAATATTTTGCTATATATATATATATATATATATATATAGAGAGAGAGAGAGAGAGAGGGAGGAGCGATCAAATACAAATTGTTCCCTTTTGTACAAACCTTATAAACCAATCTCATTCATCCATTTTCATGATCAAATAGAAAAAATAAAATTATTATCATTTTATCCAAGAAAGGGCAAAACTGAAAAAAGTTTTTTTAGTTTCAACCCATTAAAATATTCTTTCCCCGTATTCAATCCCCTTTTCTTGCATTAATCTCGTTCAATCGCATTAAAAGTTTCAACCCATTGAAATATCAAGATGAAACAATACTATTTTATGCAACCTACAACTATCTCAATACAAATTATATATATATATATATATATTGATATAAAAGAGAGAACAAAATCATGGATTCAACATTAATGAAACAAAATCAGAGCTTTAAAATCTATATATATGATTTTATTAGTAGAATGGTTTTAACCAAAAATGTTAGAAAAATCTAGGAAATCATATATTCAACAAAAAAATTCTTTATTTTATGAGTAAATATTAGAATTAAATAAATTCCACATTGAAAATAGAATTACCTAGAAACTATAAAATGAGAGATATATTAAAAACATAAAATATTCTTTAATCAACAATAAAGAATGAAACATTTTGAAAACTGAATAACATGATTTCATCAGTGAAATTGGTTTCATGGTTCCTAAGTAAAATGAAATTTGATTTATTAATGAAACTAGATAAAATTCAGTCAATGGAACATATTGTGAAAACTGAATAACATGATTTCATTAGTGAAATTGGTTTCATTAGTGAAATTGGTTTCATGAATGAAACATTTTGAAAATTGAATAACATGATTTCATTAGTGAAATTGGTTTTATGGTTCCTAAGCAAAATAAAATTTGATTTATTAATGAAACTAGATAAAATTCAGTCAATGGAACATATTTTGAAAACTGAATAACATGATTTCATTAATGAAATTGGTTTCATGAATGAAACATTTTGAAAA